AACCCATGATACAATCTTCTTGTATGTCGATTTAGCAAACCAATGCCTTAAGCCACTCAGCCATCCCTCCAAGTTGTTGATCGGAATGGAATTGGATGTGCCGGGTTTGGTTGCTTGCCCGAAGGGCTATCTGATCCGATCAACTACGTAAGCCGTAGCGCGCTAGCGCGCGTACTCTTCCTCTATGAGCGAGACTCTATCCAGATCTATGGATCTCCCCAGCATCAAAGCGAGACTCCATCCAAATCTGCCACTCCTTGGGCGAGGCCTTCTTTTCTATGAAGACCCCACCACTTCATGATTGACTTTCAAGTTATCGCCTCCGACCCAACCAGGAGAGAACACAGGGTCAAGCCTATTCACTTCACAACAACAAAACAAGCAAGGGTATTCTAACCTCTCCTTTCAGTCGAGTCTATTCTAACCTCTCCTTTCAGTCGAGTCACTTTGTACCTCTCGCTTTGCTCGATCCGCACGTTGCGCGTTAGCGCATCCGTTTTCTTGCTTGAACAACGAACATTTGATTCAATTCCTTACCGCTCCGTGGGCCTGAGATGAGAGGGAAGGTCTATTTTACTCGAATCCTGGACCTTATCTTTAATCCTACACCGGTAAATGGGATAAGTTTTTCTTTTTGAATCAATGCTGGCCCAGTCGAGGCTCGTCCATGCCCAATCCCGATGGACAAACCTTCGATTTGCCCCTAGCTCTTTTTCCAAGAATTTTCCACTCCCCGTCGAATGACCCGTCTTCCCCAGTCCCTTAAAGCCCTCCCGGGGGCCTAGCCCTCTTTCTCAACTCGAGTCTGAAGTTCAGCGGCTTTCATCGTTTACGAACACCTGCGCTAATAAGACAAAGAAATGGGGAGTCTATGCTTTGAATGAATCAGTAACAACGGATTAGTGGAATGAGGGATCAAGAGACGGATAGGGAGGGAATGGCCTATAAATCATTGGTGGACCTTCCCTTTTTCCAGTCACGGAGCTCTCAACTGAGTTGTTTAGGTTATGGAATTCCATCTCTAGTTGGGATTCGATAAAATGTGGTGCGGTTTCATCTCTCTCGACCAGTTCAGGTTCAAGGTGAAAAAAGGGGGAGAGAGGTTAGAAGATACTATACTCGACTGATAAGGAGAGGGGACCCAGACTTGAGGATCTCTATGGCGGGAGGTTGATTTCGTATCAAGAGTGTGTTGGGGAGGCCTTTCAAGATGGATTGGATCGAGAGGCGATGCTTATGCCTCTTCTTTATCGATAGGATTCCCATCATTGAAAGTATACGGCGAAGGAGACAAGGGCGAGGCACCGAACATGTTATACCCTCAACCTCCATCCGTCATTAGTAATCTAAATTCGCTTTTCCTATTCACTAGTACACTGCGCGCTACAACTAGCAGCCCCTTTACTAGTCAGGGAAAACGCTAGCTAGCTACAACTAGTTATAACCCCAACTTGATGGGGTATTTGAAGAAGCCTGCTGAAAAACATAAGCGCGCTAGCGCGCAACGGCTGATGAAAAGCCAGCAACTTGTTAGGAGTCAGTTTTGGCTTGCCCCTTTATTCTTATTAGTCAGATAGGTTTGGAACCTTATACAAACAAGGTGCTGCTCGCCCCTATCTCTAAAGTGGCTTATGCACTCCACTTGTTACCACTAAACGACGAAGCCAGGAGCGGAAGGAGGGACTTGAACCCTCAACCTCAGCCTTGGCAAGGCTATGCTCTACCATTAAGCTATTTCCGCCAGCGGGGCAACATCAAGCAGCGAAGCACTACTGAGCAATTAACGTATCACTTGATACGGACGACTTCTGTTTTTCCGCCGGACCACAGTCTTGACCTCCGATCGAGCTACGAACACGAGTAGATAGGCGGTTAGGGGCCTGCCCTTTCAATCAATCTCCGGCCGCTCAGTGCCGCTATTGGTGCGAGTTGTAAGGAGTCTTGGTCTCGAGTCAAGCTGGGGTTTCATTCTCGTAACGGGAATGAGTGCACCGCAAGACCAGACAAGTTGCTCCCTCGCCTCGCAGTGGCGGCATCTGTCTTTTAAGTGAAGTCATTTCCTAAGACGGCTCTCCTCTTATTCTACGATAATCCAAGCCTCACGAACTTCTTACTGGGGCAGCAAGAAAACTCCTTGCCGAACAAGCTTAGGAAAGAATCTATTTCAGAGTCTCAATTAGCTGTTGCTTGTTCCTGCGAAACTTCCTCTGAAGCTGATAAAGCTGCTGATCACTTCCGAACGGATCTTGCTGACTCTATGAAATCGGAGAATTATGATGCTGTCTCACATAAACTCCTCCACAGTTCCCCCCATAAGAGGAGACAAGGGAACCTAATGTTCCACCCAGGCAAAAGTACTGAGAACATTTCTTTAGCAAAGAATGAAAAAGATTGAGCTAGCACGTCAGACTTGCCTGTCTACTCTCAGGAAGGCGGTATTCTAACATTTTTGACGAACTTTGACTCTTCCTACGAGCTTTAGTAGTTTGAACCTGATCTCTCAAAAAGAGAGGAAGCCAGAATTCAATAAGTTACTACTATCTATGACTGGCCAGCAGGCGCTACTATATGTATAGAAAAAGGAAGAAGGCATCTCATTGATTCTTTCAACCCTAAGAAAGATTAAGGCGGGATGTCAGCAGAGTCAGGAAGGGATAGAAGATCAATTTGTCCCTGAAGCGTATTCTTCCGAAACTCTTCTTCTTATAGTTGATGTGATGGAAGGTCATTCGGCTATAGCAACTAAACAAGCAGCTCAGCAAGCGGTTTAATAAATAAGATCATTGCTTGAAGAGTTCAATTGCTACAACAACTCGAAAGGCCTTTGACTGACTTACCTTATCGGGAACTTCTCTTGAGTGCGTTAGACTTCGTATCCATGGAAGGAAACCTTCTCTCTCTGGCGATGATCTCTTGGACCACGCCTCCCGGTCTCATTGAACTTTCTTTCGGCAATGATGAAGATCTCTTTGTTTTGAGGTCGACGAAGATTTGCATTCCATTAGGAGTTCAAACAGACTATTGACAGATCGGAGAATAGAAGAATAGGTAACAAGTAACAAGTTGAAAAACAGACTATCCGGCCCAAAAAGGATTGGTAGAGTCGCCCATAACTAGAACTCTCGAAGAACCGGAAAGAGGAAAGATCTAGAATAGCCTGTTGTTATTCCATCTTCGAGTCGAGTCCGGATAGACTCCCTCGGCTAAGAGACTTATCTGTCACTTCTATTTCTTAATTGAATTGGCCAGCGGTTCGCCTTATCGGTAGAAGGAGGTTCCCTTGCCGTTCGTGTTTCAACATCATCAAGATTCCACGTTGTGTCAATGTTGAGTATTATAGGGAGACGTTCAAGGATAACAGGAGTAGTTGTTACGTGTACAAAGGTGTGAGGTGCCACGCTTCCAGCCCTCATGGAAAGCAAGGAAGGCTTAATGGCAAGGTAGGGAAAGGCGGGTTGAGGCCGGATGTAGTCTTCCCATCGCTCCAGCGTTAGATCGCTGTTAGTGCTGCACCATGATGTTGTCGGAAGGGCTACTAGAGAGGAAGACTCCTTTGGCTATAAACCTTAAAAAGCATTGGATTGGTCAGCAGGGCTCAAAACCTTGAATTGGAAGGTCGATATTGCTAAGGTTTATTTCTCCCCTTAGTTGCTATTGAGCTATTGCAACTAAGAAGCTATGAGTTAAGGCTGTCGGTAATAGACCACCCTCCTAATCCGCCGGACGTCGATATGATACGTGTCCGAGGGCTTAGGCTCTGCCTACCTAGTCCCCCACTGGGGGGGATATTCTTAAGTGGGAGATACTTTATTTTGAATTGGACTGTACTGTAAAGGACATAATAAACACAGAGAACAAGTGAGCAGCTTCCTATAATACAGTAGGGGAATGCTTTCTATTCAATCTTCTTTCTATGTCTCAAACCAAAGAACAACCCATTGCCCCTATGTTTAGTAAGTGAAACAAACCCTTGTTCTGGATGGAGAGAGATCTACGATGTGGTGACGCTCCAGCCCACTTTTGGATAAATAAGGAATGCATTTGATTCCTAGGAAGGTCAAGAGCTAGCGCATTGAAAGTCTTGGTGGCCCTATTAGATTAGAAGGGAAGGAAGAGCTGTGACATACGTCATTTTCATGAATGCCTGAACGACTCACCAACCTTTGTTACTGAGACTTTCGTGTCAACAATAACGAGAGAAAGTGTTTTTTGTCTTATAACGGATGGTTGTAATAAGGGGGTTACGCCCGGGGAAGATATCCACCCCTTTTGAATTAGGCTTTCCTTACTTTCAAGTCAACGCAGTAGGAGTTTCAGTTCCTGGTATTGGTTAAGGCAAAATAGCATCATTTCGCTTCCCCCTACTGATTGAAGGTGTGCTTTCGATAGGGAGTGTAGCAAAGAAAAGCAAATGCTAAAGTCGAGTTTTTGTTTTGATTTATTTTACGTAGGGTGACATATATGAAAATCAAACTGTGACGTTCATCTAAGTTACTAATCTTCGGCCCCCGGCTTTCATTTAAAACAGTTGCTATTGCGGTCTTTTGGGATATTGTTTCAGCACAGAAAGAGCTGTTATCACGACTGAGAGGTCAGGCTCAAGCTTCAGGCCCCACCAATATGGACTAATCGGATCTTCATTCAGGCGAGAAAGGCCTAATAAGCTCTACTTTAACAAGTAGAAAGGAGTCCCAATAAAAGCTTTCGTCTCGGGCGGAGCAGCTGTCTTTGAGGAGAATGATGCCTTGTTCCTAAAGTCTTGCTATTTTCTCAGTGGATCGTAAATGAGCTTAGCTTGATTTAGCTGACCTTGCCCGAAGGAAAAGTTTCGATCCTCGATCCAAGTTTCGTCTTTCGAGTCTCATTCGAGAGGTTGTTATTCGACCTGGAAACAACAGTTTTTTCTTTACTTCAATGTGCCGAGAAAGGGTTCGAAACTTCAATCGTCGGAGCATGGAGGGAAATGAAATGAATAGTTGAGATTCCAGTTTGAATTGACTCAGAGAAGGGAAGGATCGATGCAATGGAGAGGCCTTTCCATTGAGCTAGAACGAGACTTTGGAAGTTGTTGTGGGGCCACAAAGACTAAAATGTGCTTTGGCTCTTCGTCAATTGACTCACGGAGCTCGGCCAATTTGATGTTCGTATGGATCTGTCCTAAGGCGACTGTTCATTGGCATCGGTATCTGTTGATGCCTTATCTTAGAGACCACGACTAACCAATCCTTCTGGCAAAGCGACTTCGGCCTATCAATCATCAACCCATAAAGCATAATCTACATATAAAGCTAAAGAATAAGTAAATATATCATAGAGCATTTAGTGAATGGATATTTCTACGCAGCTTCTTGGACTGCACTCAACGCCGGGTCTTCCCCTCGAAGCGTATCGAATGGGAAAGGCAAGGATAATCGAATCTCTTGCTAGTCGACCGGTCGTACCGATCTGTCTTAGAGCCTTCCTACTCTTCTTCTCCGTCTCATATAAGCTATTCCCTTCAGTGTAAATCTAAGTTTAAATAATAAAGATTGACAGCTTTGCAGAGGAGAAAAACTTAGATTATTCCCGAAGGTGTTCCTTGCATGCTGAAGTGAACAGGGGCGGTACCAACTACGACTAGAAAGCGGTCACTCCTGTCAATGAATACCATTCATAGCTGTCCATGTTAGTAACATAGCCGTAACGACTTTGTTTTACTGCTCGATTTATATATTTACTTAATTATAAGCTTGCATAGTGCTCTTCCTATTTGTTTTCTCGGCTTTATTCTGCCGAACCGAATTAAGACAGTTTATCTCCCCTCTGTACCTATTGCACTGATCTCTTCTCTTTCACTCTCTTTCTTCATTCAGGAAAGGCTTTCTCTGCAGTCATCTTCCCGGGGTGCCAATGACAAATGAGATGCTGGCTATAGAATCCTTACCCCAGGACTTCGGTTGCAAACCCCGGTACCTCCCCAAAATGGGTATCTTAGTGAGATCCCAAGTTGTCCAAGGTCCTGCCTCCATAACATGTTCCTTAGGTGAATCTTCTCCGGCGAAAACGGAGAGGAGGGCGGTCAAGGTAGAATAGTGGGTGGGTAGGTCTAGGTATGAAGAGAAGCGGTGCACATATGAATGAATTCTTCTTAAGAATCACGCTTGGAAAAATGGATTTATTTTAGAAAGGCAGGTACGTAGTCGCTTTAGCGAAGCGGTAAAATATTTAATTTCGCATGATAAGAGATCAGCAGAACAAGACTTTCAAGATTCCATTCCTTTCTCTTGCATCAGCCCGGACTAAAGCTTTTATTAGAAATTGATCCGCTTAGCTTCCCGCTTTTCTTTTAGCCTTTGCTTAGTCGATTTCTGTTCGGTCTTCGGGGTCAACCCGCTGATACGCATAGAAGTGCTCAGATCATCTTTTCAATGAGTAGATTACTGCTGGTTCAGTCTTGGGAAAGCCCGTGGACCAAGCACCTTCTTTATTTTATTGCCAGAAGGATGAAGTCAGATAACCTTATTTACACTAGGGGATTCAACCCCAACTTATTTTATATATGTGGTAAACCATTCCCCTAGCTGGCCTACGGAAGGCTACTAGATGGCCTACCAATACATCTTAAAAAAAAGCACTTTTTTTTCGGATCAAAAGGATATTCTTAAAGAAAGCCTTCCCCCTTACTAAAGAAAATAGGGCTGAAATAGACAACAAGACAAAGCATTTTTATTAAACTGGGGTTAAGAGCATAAAGATATTAACAGCGGATATGCTACTAATAAGTAAGAACCCATCTGCGACAACATAAGTCATATATATAGTAAGACCTCCTCTTCTTTGATTCCGTGCACGAGTAAGTACCCGTAAATCGTAGAGAAAGAGCGGGGTAGTTACCTGCTCTTTCATCGAGATTGGCGAATTACGGTAATAGAATAAAATCTGATTCGAGGAGCCTTCTTTGCTATTAGTTTCAATATCTGCTGAGTGAATCTCTTTTTTCTACCTTATCAAAGTTGACCAGTAAGTAAGCAGGAAGACTAGGATCGTTTCGATAGAGAGTCTCGAGTGGATTGACTAGTAGAGACTGAGTGCAAGTATATAGCAGCTGATAAGCGTAAATAAGATATGCGACATAATTACAAGATAAAGAGCTTATGTGCGAAAGCAGAAATTTTGATACTTATACAGCGTATCTGCGCACATAATTCCTTATATAAGGAAGTAATTCAATCCTATATGCGAAAGTCTATCCGAAATAAGCAGTTCTTTCTCTTGTCGACTGGGAACGAATGCTTTCGATATTCAATCATACATATATGAAGTGTGCCGCGAGTTGCCTTAGAGGACGAGAAAGCACTACTTCTTTTCATGCTGTTGGTATTCGTAAGGGTACTATGCAAATCTTTCTTTTTTTTTTATCTTCATCTATTCCATTATTCTTCATTTACTAAAAGTAGTAATTCAATTAGCAATCGAGTTCTAATCAGCTAATTACTGTGAAATCTAATTCAAATTGATGTCCCACCTATATTGCCGCGAATTCCCTGAAGCAAGGTTCACATTTCATATAGAAATGAATGTTCCTAGGCTTTCTACCCCTTGTTTCCTTTTGGTAGTGGGAAGTGATTGGAGTAGCAAAGCAGGAAGGTTTTTTCTAATTGAATGAATGCATGGGTTCTCCGGTTGGATTGGCTTTATGTTCCTTGACTGGACTTTACTCTTGTTGTTATCGAGTGCCTGCTGCTTGACTTCTTTCTTCCACATAGGCTAGCTCTCCTCGCTTGCATGCCTTGTGGCAAACTTTACGAAAAATATCGTATATAAAGGAGAGTCACGCGCTCTTTAAAGGCCTTTAAAGAAAGAGAGCTTTATAAGCAGCCAATCTTTTATTTATCCCATTTCTTTCTTGGTTTGACAAACCGGCGATTTCCGTGAGCAAGAACAAGTCTCTCTTTTTGTTTGGGGGGAGCAGAGCAGTCAAAGAATGAACCAAACCAAATGATTGTTCTAGAATGGCTATTCCTCACAATTGCTCCTTGTGATGCAGCGGAACCATGGCAATTAGGATCTCAAGACGCAGCAACACCTATTTATTCGTTGTTGCTCTTTCTTTTATTCTCCTCGCTTTACTTCCTTTTGCGCTTTGTTTTACAGCCGGATCGTGACTTGATAGCGCGGCCGCCTTTCTTCTTTGTGGTTCTGACGAGCCTCAAACTGGAATGGGTGGTTTGGGAAATAAAGAACTTCCGCTTTATAGTCCGTTTTCTTATAACGGCTATAGGGGCGTGCCCGGAAAAAAGGGATATAAGGGCAAGGCTTAGATGGTACAGAAGATGTCTGCTGGGGACGTGGCGGTTATTTTGTATAATGCGCGAGCACAGGACAAGGAGATAAAGTAGAACCCTCCCGATAGGTTTTGGCTTTCTTTCCATTCCTTGTGTTTTCATTTATATTTATCCTTTGAATTACTCATATATATCCTATGAATTGAATTTCGCATCGGAAACTATTCTAGGAGAAGTTCGAATCCGTTCCGTTCGGATATTGATTGGTCTTGGTTTGACATGGTTGACGTGTTACTGGTTCCCGGAAGAGTTCATATCTCCATTAGCTAAACCCCTTCTTACCCTGCCTTTGGATTCGTATTTTGTTCGTACACAATCAACGGAGGCCTTCCCGACATATGTTGCAACGTCTCCAATAGCATGCTCTTACTTCGTCTTTCCCTTAATAAGTCATCAAATTTGGTGCTTTTTGATCCCCAGTTTCTATGGGGAACAAAGGACGAAATACAATCGATTCCTCCATTTAAGTGGTTCTCGCTTCTTCTTGTTCCTGTTCCTAACTCCTCCCCGGGTAGTTCCCAATGTTTGGCACTTTCCATACTTCATGGGTGCAACATCAACAAATTCGCTCATGATCAAGCTACAACCTAAGATCTATGACCATATTATGTTCACTGTTCGTATTTCGTTCATTTCATCGGTATGCTCCCAGGTACCTGTAATTGTGATCCGTTTGTCAGAACCAAGGGGTCTTTCTGTAGAAACCTCCACGAACAATCGTCGTTTTTTGATGGTTTTTCCGCTTCTCACAGCTGCTCTTTCCACACCTCCGGATATCTGGTGCCAAATTGTCGCCCGTTTCCTTATTTCTTTGATAATAGAGTTTGCTATCTTTGTGGCATCGATTGTACAAGTTCGTGAAGAGGGCTGGACGAGTGGAATGAGGGAGAGCGGCTCGATCGACAAAAAAGAAGAGTAGCCTCCCGCAAAGTCATTATCAATGAATTCCCGAGCAATTCTCAACCAACATATGCGATTCATTCCCTTCATGTATAAGGAAGAGTTCAACAGAAGCCATCTCTCTGACACTGGCTCCTAAACTTGGTCTTCTCGAGAATATCCTTAAATGCCTGAAGCTAATCCAATGCTTGAGTCGGAGGAGGCTTCTTTCAGGTGTGAGCGAAATACTTTTCTCGCTAAACCCGTCTCTTATCTTCTCTACTTTTTTGGCTGCTTTCTTTCATATGGGTGTAAGGTTCCTAATGTTCTAACTCATAAAGTATAGTCGTTCTCTCTTCCTGACCCTTCGGCCAAGCCGCTTTTTCTGTTCATTGGATTGATAGCTTTTCCCTCTCCTTTCAGTCGAGTCTATTCTAACCTCTCCCCAACCGCTGTCATGTCCCGCTACGCTAGTTCTACTGTGCTTTCCTTCCTTGCCCTCGAACCGACTATCCAACGACATGGAACACTTAGCATTGGCCCTATCACTCAAATTCAATTTGATAGCACGCCAACAGGAGGGGCTTCTTACAAAAGCACTCCAACAACTCACTTGAACTTGAAGAGAGAAGCAACTAAGACTTCTCCATCAAAAGAAAAACAAGCATCGACTAAATAGAAGGCCCTTTCATCTTATCGTTAGCCTATAGCGCTATCTACCCTTAAGACTTACTTCAGGGATGTAACAGAAAACTAACAATCGATGGACTGGAAGGGAGAAGAGCAAAGAGAACTCAATCTAGAATTTCCACTCCTTATAAAACCCCAACCCCAAGTACGGCATTAGCAATTGAAGAGCTGAGTAAGGATGGGTGGAACTACAACCCCTCGAACTGGCTCGATAAAGTATGGGAGATTAGATAAGCTGGCTAGGGATTTTTATATTCTTTTTACTGAAAATGCACCGACCATTGAAAACTATATAGCTTTATATATAGGCTGCGGGGAACTCCCCCTGGACCGCCATAGAATCATATGCAGGGCTATCAGAGTCCAGGAAATGCATGGCAGGGAACTTAGAAAGGCACCTTCCTAAGCAACTTATCTAACTTCCACTGCTTATCTATAGTCTTCCACGTCCATAGGATTCCACGGCTTAGCCATAGGAAAGAACAGGTTATGCATACGAAAGTACTCTTTAGGGAAAGGGCTTAGCCTAGCACTCCAACAGTATGGGCTTCTCTTTTTTCTCCTTCAAGCACTTGAGTGCCTCTTCAAAGCTCCAAGTGTGAAGTCGTTTGTAAAAAAAACCTGTGCGCATCTATATGTGAGGGTTATATATACCATTTTATGCCTTCGTATTTATTTGAGAGAGTGGGGATCGGATTTCTCTTCCAATCTCCCTTAGGACCCATGGCTTCGTGCCAAGTATCATAGGGGACCCGGATTCGAATACTCTTCTTTCTTTTGAGATCTTAGCACAGTTTTTTTGGCTAATGGCCTCTTGCCACGTGGCAAGTAGGTCTCTCGAGCCTTTATTAAAGGATAAGTACCAAGAGGTATTGTTCAAACGCACTTCTAAAATGGGGCTGCAGGGTGCGAACCGCAGGCTTGTAAATCATTAGGTATTTGAATATGGATATCAATGACTAAAGTATCTTCCCACAAAACAAAAGCGCTAGACCCCTGGTCCTTTACTTTAATCAACAACAAGGCTGCTTTCCCTGCTAACCCTTCTCGCCAAGGAAATAAGTCCAATAGAGCAGCTGATCAACGCTTTGAGCACTTATTCCTTTTGTCCCCAGCTACCTCTTAGAGTAGTCACGAGCTTATTGGAATAAGAGCTTTTTCAAGCATTCCCATAGTAAGAAGGTCAACCGAAGCCAATCCATCTCTGTTAACGAATGCTCCTACTCCTAACGGTTCTATATCCAATTCCTTAAGGATAAGGAATAAGGAAAGGGAAGGAGAGAACAGCTACTAAGAGTTATAAGAGCCATACCACAGAAAGCTAAAAGGAGCCGGGGTCTACTACTTTATATACGCTAGCACCAAAGCAAGGAAAGAAGGCAAGGTGCCCAGGTAAAGGCTAAGCTGAGTCGGATGGAGAGAGTGGCTCATCCATCTTTTCGTCTTTTAGACAAGTATAGTAGGGACTTTCCTGACTTCTTCTCCTAGTGAGTGAAGCGCGTAAACAGCAACTGAAACAGCCTTTCCTTCACACAAGGTTTTTCATCCTTCTCCGACCAATCCTACCTGACTTGTCTTATCTATGCTAATCGTGTGGGACTGGCCCTACTCACTTACCGGAAAGAGCAGAAGGCATTGACCCGCTATCCCCTTACCGGGCCTCAAACTCTTCGCGCAATTCAATACCCGGATAAAGAGAAGTTATTCGTTTGCCGTCTCATAAGAAATGGGAGGCCAGGTGCCGATCCGAAAAGACAGGATACGCGAGAGAAGGGACCCATTAGCCACCAATAGTAGAGAGTGGGGGCGGTAGTGCGGTAGGCATGCTAGCGTAGGATTTTTGATCGATAGGCTAGGTCCAAAGGAAAAGATATTCGGGGAGCCCTCCATACGAGGCCGATCCGATCTCCATTGTGTAGCCCTTAAAGTGCTGATAGACCGCGAGCTCCTGTTGTTTATTGGCATGGACTGAACATGGTCCCTAGCTGTGAAACGTATGTGTTTACTTCGTGAAACCTTAGTAGGATGGTTCACTGGAGATGCAGTGTACTCGGCTTTTCCGTTTTTTCTTTGTCTTTGCCTCCAACAGTTGACTGGGCTATAGCTAAACCTGCCCTTTGTCTAAAGATGTGGTGCCACGAGATATTCGATTTGAGAGTACCTTATCATTGGGGCATGCCGGCAACCTTGCGGCTGAGAACTATCTGGTGCGGGAGTAATCCATCGAGCTGAATGCTTGGTTGAGTATTCTATCGCGCCTAGTCAAACAGGCATCCCTAGACCTATGTGTCTTGTGTGCTTATTAGTGCCATTTAGGGGTGGCCGAAGGTTAGGCGTACACATGGGCTCATCCCCACCATCGATCTACAAATTGACATTTTGAAGCAATTTTGGTTGTCAAGTCGAGATATGAGTGTATAGGGGCGCCAGACTCCCTGTGCTGTGATGGGTTCTGCCATGTGAAAGCGGTGAACTGCTTGTAAGGGCTAGGCTAAACCATGATGCTGTGTTACTAGGCTTCGCCTCTCCCTTCACTATGAAAGTCTCGCTCCTATTCTTTAAGAAAAAGAAGATGGAAACTTATCTAATGGAAGACTTTTATTTATAACACAGACGGAATGCGGATGAAAGCTTTGCATCTTCTAAGCCCTGAACTCTTTATTACTTTCTTTTTAAGGCCTATTACGATTATAAGGCTAAAGGACAAGGAATGCGCTTAAAATAATGCTTTGAGGTCGCCAGTGGATGGAAGCCGAAAAGCTTACCACACAACTCCACAACACAAGGAAACTCCCGCTACAGAATCAGAGCAAGAAACTCCTGCGCGAACTCACTTACGGGTATTCACCCTTGTCCGTAGGGGATGGGATTAGATTAATTTAGAATATGTAATTGATTTTGGTCTATCGCTTGTAAAGCATCCCAGGTAGTTCTCTAAGCACCGGTTAACCACCTCCCTCACAGTTTGCATGAGATTCCACTTATTCTATGTCATTTTAAGCCTTAGGTAGTTGTTCCTCCAGCAGTTCTGTTCTTGGTCTGATAGTCTTGTTAACGCTTTCTAATCTACTTTATTGTACAGATCTTCCTTTCCTTCCTCGTCCAGTGACGGATTTGCTCCCTATTTAAGGAAGTATTCTTCTTTAGTAAGAAGAGTACTGCCTAAAGCAATGTGAGTGAAAGTGTCTATATGGGAGTCAACTCCTTTTCTAGTGTAGATCCCCTTCCTTATTCATAAGTTCCCCGGGTACAAGGAATGAGTGCTCCTAATGTATTTTCTCTGTTTCGGTGTAGATCGTCTCTTTGTCTATGGAGACCTTTTCAAGTCGTCCATTCTCTTCGGTATGGATTCAAAGTCATCCCTCACGCGGGTGCAGGGAGTCCTGCTTGTGCTCTTTCTTTGTGGTCCAGGCCAGGCACTCCATATGTGTTTCGGTATTGATCTGAGCACTCGTGTAACTACTAATAAAGCTCGAGGGACCTTTCTTTCTGAGGGCTACCGGTGTGACTTCTCTTGGTCAGGTCTAAAGGTCTAAGGGGAAGCCCTTTTCTTATTAGTATTAGAGGTGAACCTACTACTATTGAATAATCCTGGTAGTCCAACTACAGAAAAGGTTATTCCTAGAAAGATTGTTCCTTCGTTTACTAGAACGAGAAGTACCAGATGGGGGAGACCCGCTACTTCAACGAAATAGACTACCTCACTAAGATGGCTGTCAGCCCGAGTGCCTGTCACGACCACAACTACCAAGATTCAACCGTCTTTTGTTTTGCTGCTGCTGCTAATCCGCTTCCGGCTATTCAGCCAGCGGAACCTGATATGGAATCAGTCAAATATGTAATCAGGAATAGGTTTTTTGTGTATCGACAGGGTCCAGGGGCGAGCAATGTCTCCGATGAGGAAATCAATAGAATTCTTGATCTAAAGCGACGTATTTTGAATCGAATGGGGGAAACGGGAAAACACACTAATTCGTGATTACCTTCTGCCTCCCCGGGTCAAAGTGGATGTCTTAGAAAGAAAGCTCCATGACCTCAATGCCACATAATCTAAAATATATAAAGAGCTACTCCGAGTTCGAGAAAATTTCCATAGGGATGGACGTTATCGCAGTCCTATAGGTGGTTGGTTGTTTTTAGGTTCCATTCATATCTTCTTCATTCCGATTTAGTCTATATCTAGTATTTCCTCCTTTATTAATGGAAAGGAATCGAAGAAGAAGAGAAGATAAGTGAATTAAAAATGAAGGGAAGACAGATTCACATTTCTTTCGAGCGAAATTTAACTAAGAGGGGGCCCGCCCAAAGGTGCTTAGCCAATACTTTATCCTTATAGACTTTACGGCTGTGATATGAAGGGAAAGCCCATGGCCACACACATAAGAGTAGACAGTCCGGGTGTTCTCTCCCCTTACTGTGACCTTCCTCTTGAACTGGTCATGGTAGGCGCGTCATCTATAGCAGTTGCCTGCAGGCTGACTAGATCGTTTTGGGACATTGTATTTGGTCGGGCGATGTCTCTATCGATGGAAAGGCTGACGAAGGGTATTTTGTTTTCGCTCCTTACGTCGTGAAGGCATAAGCCTTTAGTGTTCTATTTAGACCTGCGTATTTAGGTCAATTTAACCAGTTTCCGTTGCTAACTAAATGATGACGCACCCCTTCCTCGCTTTAGCGCCGGCGCCAACAACTGGATAGAACTTTCCTCCCCATCTTTCTGGTATCTAGCGAAATGGCAGCTGGATTCCCTAGTTCCAATGTTCTTTTCACTGTACTTGAGTCTTTCCCCCTTACTCTACTCTGGCTATAGAGCAGAGCCATCTAAATGCCATCATGAAGCGTAAGACTTAGGATAGTCCTCGACTACCTTCTTATTTACTTGTTGAGCACTACTGGGCAAATACTTTTTTTATATGATTAGACCGGACTGACTAGCTTCCCTCGATAAGCTGGCTTATTGGGGTTAGGCATTCTTAGGCAATAGACCACACATCAGCGATAAGGGGCAGCGGTCAGCGAATTGAAAATCAAGAGACAGTTGACCAACAAGAATTGCATAAGTAATAAAGTAAGTAAAGAAAAAGAAAGTACGTAAGAAGTAATATCG